AAAAAAAAAAAAAAAAAAAAAAATGTTCTTACTGAGCTGAAGTTCACGTAATATAAAGCTATGTGTTGGGGGGGGTACCATTCTTTGTTGAGTTTTAAAAAATTTTTTTTGATGTTTATTTCTTTTTGAGAGAGAGAGAGCACACACAGGGAAGGGGCAGAGAGGGAGGGAGACACAGAATCTGAAGCAGGCTCCAGGCTCTGTCAGTACAGGGCCCGATGTGGGGCTCGAACCCACAGACCCCAAGCTTCACGACCTGAGCGGAAGTTTGACACTTAACAGACAGAGCCATGCAGGCGCCCCTCTGTTGAGTTCTAAAATATTTCCCTAGTGGACCCATTGCATCCCCATCAAGCAGCTGCCCTCCCTGGCGCTGTGCGCCCTGCCCTGCACCAGACGGCTCCGCCCGCGTGAGGGGGGGCTCCTCTCCTGTACTCCTGGCGGCCCCGCCCCTACCCCCTACGCTTGGTGGCCCCTCCCCTACACGGGGCCCCGCCCTACACTGTGCGGCTCTGCCCCCGCGCCTGGTAGCCTCGCCCCCACCTTGTGCGCCCCGCCCTGCACTGTGTGGCCTCGGCCCCAGCGCTGTGCTCCCCTCCCGGCAATGTGAGGCCCCGTCCCTGAACCTGGCGGCCCCACCCCTGCGCTGCGCTGTGAGGTCCCGCCCCTGCGTCCGGAGGCCCCACCCCCGCGCTGTGCGCCCCGCCCTGCACTCTGGGGCCCCGCTCCGCGCTGTGCGGTCAGGCCCCTGTACCCGACGCTCCGCCCTGCGCTTTGGGGCCGTCGGGGTTGCCTGTTTCTGCTCGGAGTCACGGATTCAGTACTCGCCTGCTCGCGGCCTGTGTGTCAGGACTTTCGTCCTCTGTGTGGCCCAGCAACATTCCGTCACCTAGCTGTGGCGCCGCTTGTTTGTGGTGCATCTGCTGGTGGCCCTTCAGGCTGTTTCCCCTTTCTGCCCGTCGCGATCCGCGCTGTGAACCTTTGTGTACACGTCGTTGAGTCCCTGATTTCAGTTCTTTCGGGGACCGACCCAGGAGCGGGATTGCTGGATCGTGCGCTGAGGCCGTGTGTCACTTTGAGGAGCCGCCAAACCTTTTTTGCACAGCAGCTGCCCGGTTCACGTTCGCACCACTAACATGCGAGCTCCGGAGTGCCCACATTCTTGTCAACACTGTCCTTGTCTGTCTGGGTTTAAAGACCCATGACAGAGCACTCCCCTCCCCCTGCTAGTGGATGTGACGCAGCTCACTGCGGTTTCGATTTGCGGTTCCCTGGCGGCTGGTGATGTGGGACATCCTTTCCTAGGCTTATTGGCCACATACATATCTTTGGAGAAATGATTGTTCGGATTGTTTGCATGTTTTTTGCTTAGGTTGCTTGCCTTTTTGTTGTTCAGTTTTAAGTATTCCTTACATAGTCTGGATACTGGGCCTTATCAGAGATATAGTTTGCAAATATTTCCTCTCATCCTGTAGGTTGTCTGTTCCCTTTCTCCTATTGTCCTTTGATGCAAAAATATTTTAATGTTGGCGAGGTTCAACTTACTTTTTCCTTTATGCTCATCCTTTTGGTGTCATGTAAGAAACTTACTAAATTCAAGATTATGAATATTTGCACCTGTGGTTTTTTTCCCTAAGCATTTTACAATTTCAGTGCTTTGATTTAGGGCTTTCATCCAGTTTGAGTTACTTTTTACACGTGGTGTTAGATAAGAGTTCATCTAAATTGCTGTGCATGTGGACAGATTGCCCAGCACCGTTTGTGGAAAGACTTGTTCTTTCCCCCACTGAACTGCGTCCGGTGTGGCCAGCTGTGTGGTAAACGTCTGGACTTTTCCGTTTTAGTCTCTTGGTCTGTTTGTCCTCATGCCTTACCACACCGTCTTGATAACTGTAGCTTTGTAGTATGTGAAGTGTGAGCCCTCCAACTCTGTTCCTCTTTTTCAGTATATTTTTTAAGATTTTATTTTGAAGTAACCTCTACACCCAATGTGGGGCTTGAACCCACAATCCCAAGGTCAAGAGTCGCACACTCCACCGACTGAGCCGGCCGACGGGCACCCCCGAGATTGTTTTGACTATTTGGAATCACTGGCAGTTTCATATGAATTTTAGGATCACTTTTTCTAGTTCTGCCAAAAAGACCATTGGGATATTGGTAGGGATTGCATGGAATCTGTTTAACGCTTTGGAGATATTTGGACATACTGCCACCTTAGCAGTACAAAGTCCCCCAATCCTTGAACACAACATGTCTTTCCTTCTGTTGAGATCATCTTTAATTTCTTTCAGAAATGTTTTGTGGTTTTGGGTATACAAGTCTAATACTTCCTTGATTGAATTTATTCCTGAAGTATTTTATTCTTTTATTTAAGATTTTTTAAAGTTTATTTAAGCAATCTGGACACCCAGCCCGGGGCTTGAACTCATGACCCCAGGCTCAAGACCCGCATGCTCCATCGACTGGGCCAGCCAAGCACCCCTATTTTATTCTTTTTAATACTATTGTATGCGAAATTACAAGTTTCCTTTTCAGATTGTTCATTGCTAATGTGTAAAAATACAAGTGATTTTTAGGATACTGATCTTGTATGTTTGCAACTTTGCTGAATTTCTTTATAAGTGCTGATGTTATGTTTGTGGATTTTTAAAAGTTTTTTACATATAAGATGCCATCTGCAATTAGAGATACTTTTATTTCTTTTTCTGCCTAATGGCTCTAGCTAGGACTTCTAGTGTAGTATTGAATAGAAGTGGAAATGGGCATCCTTGTGCCTGATCTTAGAGGGAGAGCTTTCTGTCTTTCACCACTGATTCTGACACTAGGTTTGGGTTTTCCAAAGTTCCCTTTGTCATTTTGAGATCTATTCTTTCCATTCCTAGTTTAGGTGTTTTTATCATGAAATGAAATGATGTTGAAATTTTCTCTTCCTTCTATTAGTGTGGTGTATTACATTGATTAATTTTTGTATGTTGAATCATCTTTGTATTCCTGGGATAAATCGCACGTCATCGTGGTGTCTAATAATTTTAATATGCTGCTGAATTATATTTGCTAGTGTTTTCTTGAGGATATTTGCATCTATATTCTTAAGATACTGGTTTATACTTTTCTTCTTGTGGTATTTTTGGCTTTATTATCAGGGTTATGTTGGAATTATAGAATGAGTTAAGGGGTGTTCCCTACTATTGTTTGGGAGAGTTTGGGATGGATTGGTGGTAATTCTTTAATATTTGGTAGAATTTACCCACCAAGCCATCTGGTCCAGGGCTTTCCTTTCTCAGGATGGTGTTGATTATTGACTCAATCTTAGTATAGGATATGTCTAGATCTTCTATTTATTCTTGGTTTCAGTAACCTCTGCATTTCTAGGAATTTGTCCATGTCACAGGATTTCTATTATGCTCGCATTTAATCAGTATTCTCTCATCCTCTTTTATTTCTGTAAAATCCAGTTGTTTTCTTGTTCACTTCTGATTTTAGTAATTTGCGTCTTGTTTTTTCTTAGCCCGTATAAAGAATTGTCCATTTTGGGGGCGCCTGGGTGGCTCAGTCAGTTAAGTGTCCCACCCTTGATTTCAGCTGGGGTCATGATCTCACAGTTCTTGAGTTCGGGCCCTGCATCGGGCTCTGCACTAACAGCATGGAGCCTGCTTGGGACGGTCTCCTCTCTGCCCCTCCCCCGTATGCGCTCTCTCTCTCTCTCAAAATAAATAAACTTAAGAAAAAAAAAAAAAGAAATGCCCATTTTGTTGATCTTTCCAAAGAACTAGCTTTTCTTGATTCTGTTTCCGTTGTTTCATTTATCTCTTCTGTTAACCTTAAAAATAAAACTGCCAATTATTTTACCAGCAAAAATGTCTTTATTCTGGAATGG